TACATAAGATATATAAAATATTTAAAATATTTATTTAAGATTCATTTAATAATTAAAAAGCTTACTGAATGTGCTTGACTTTGTGTAAATGTAGTTAATATATAGTCACCTTTGTCACTACTGATGCTTTTTTCTTTGTTTTTAGGTTATTATGGTGATGGGTTAAATGCAATTGTTGTATTTGCTGTTTGCTTTATGCCTGAAAGTAGCCAGCCTAACTACAGATACCTAATGGACAATCTATTTAAGTAAGTCATTATCTGCCTCTGAATACCGTCTTAATTTCACATTCTGAAACTTGGTATTTTAATGTAAGGGTGATTGCTTCTCTCTCTTTTTTTAATGAAGCTTTTTATATTTCAGATGAGGGAAAGGTAACAAATAAAAAAGCATCTACTTCCAGGGGAAGGAAAAAAATTGCCAATTCTATACCTTTAAAATGTATTTAGCACTACTAGGAGTTACTTTAATATCCACAGATCTTCACTTGAAAGTTGGTTTTTTTTGCTTGTCTCTGCAGGTATGTAATTGGCACTTTAGAGCTGTTAGTAGCAGAGAACTATATGATAGTTTACCTGAATGGTGCAACAACACGGAGAAAAATGCCAAGTTTAGGCTGGCTTAGGAAATGTTATCAGCAAATTGATAGAAGGTAAGAAGCTCTGCAGTGTTTTCTTACGATATTCACATGCTCAGTGATACACATTTTTAGGAAAAACTGCTGTTTAATGTGGTGTTTGGTACATACTGGTTAAGATTTAATTAAGCAAATTGCCTGATGTATCGAAAACCTCTTTTTAAGGTAGACAGTGGGGAATAATGCTACAGGCATGCCTGGGTTTTTTTTTTGTTAATTTGTTTTTCAGTGCTTTTTTAGTGAAGATAGTAGGGTTAGAATACTGAATACTGTTACCACATAGAATGTCATTAAAACTTCATGTATTAATATGATAAGGTAGTAAGGGGGGTCCTTTGTGAACCACTTCATCATTAGTTGTGTAAAAAGATTCAAAGAAACTTCTCTTTGGAGTGTTATTTCCTTGTCATTGTTGTGAAACTGATACTACATTTTAAATTTTGACTATACAGTTGTATACTATTTTATTTTCTTCTGGCAGATGGTAATTTCTGATAATGGAATGTCAACATACTAGATTTATGTGACAGTTCTTGCAAAAAAGATACTTTTTATATATTTAAAAAAAAACCTTCTTGTCATGCTGCCTTTTTGTTCCAGTAGTTATGTGTGCTGTTTGAATCTTTCAGGTTAAGGAAAAATCTGAAATCATTAATCATAGTTCATCCTTCTTGGTTCATCAGAACACTTCTTGCCATCACAAAACCTTTTATTAGGTAATACTCTGGAAGGTATTTCTTTTTTTTTTTTTTGAATCCTAAGAACTGCTTACTTTAAACTTCAAAAACTGTTTTAATATTGATCTACTGAAATATTTTTAAGTTGTAACTGTACCCTGCATTTGTTCTTCCACAGCTCAAAATTCAGCCAAAAAATTAGGTATGTCTTTACCCTGGCAGAACTAGCTGAACTCATCCCCATGGAATATGTTGGCATCCCAGAATGCATAAAACAGTACGTTTTATTATTCAAACATGTTCTATGCTGATCATGTTTTAGAACCAGTATGTATTGTATTCAGTGATTGGTTTGAGTGTAACACTTTGCATTTAATAAAATTTAATTTAACTCATATCATTGCTATCTCTAGGAGGAGTATCCATGTTCGACTACATTGCTAACTACAGTTTCGTATGCAGGAGCTTGGATAGTTGAAATGTTAATGTATAGGGATTTTCATGGATATTGCCTTAAGTAATTACCAAGTTATGATGTGTGAATTAGTCTTCTAGAGACAAGGCCTCATTCCAGTTGTTCTACCCCTTAGTGTACTAAACTGGCTTCTGAGCAAGAAATTCTAGGCATGTTGATACTGAAGTTATTTACAATATCTTCAGTGCTCATGCTAAAATGTGGAACAAGTGAAGTGGCGAAACACCACTAGGATTAGGATTTCATTTAAAAGAGGTGTGGTGGAAAAATCCTAAATCCCTACCCATAACAGTTTTAAAACTACTTTGGTGAAGGCAGCATCAATGTCCTTGGTTTTCTCCTCTTCCTTCCCTCCAAATATAAATATCCCTTTTAATGTCAGCACAACTCTACTCTTGAATATGATTATGATAATTTTGTCAATAGCATTTGTGGGTGCACTAATAGAGTAGAAACCACAAACTTGGATCTTAAAAAAGCCAGATGAAAGTACTAAAAATTCTGATGACAAATTGATCAGCCCATTAGAGGGTATAACATCCAAAACCTGTAGAGTATGGATCACGATAGGTCATCACAACTGGGAACTCCATATGGAAAGATGGCATAGTCTCACTATGTGGACAGCAGGACGCATCCGTGTTGGAAAAATCCACAAATTCCACTTGCTCCCCGCCCACTGCAAATAGCTGGTTATTGCAGTAAACATTCAGCTGGTATCAGTTGCACAATTTAACTTTTTATAAAATAGAGAAAATGCAATTTTCTTGGGGTGGGGAGGAAAGGCATGACTATGCTGAAGCAGCCTTGTGCTGTCTTTGGAATATTTTTTAACTGGGGCTTTTGAAGCATGTGTTATGAATATTCAGACTGTTCAGGTCTTGAAAGATTCCATTCTGTATTGATGAACCTTTAACTGTTCTGCAAAGGCTGGACTTGGTTGGCTTACGGAGTTGATTCAGACTTCTGTGGAGGATTGTATCTGTCTTCAAACTGTTACAAATACAGACATTAAATTATAGCGATTGATGTTAATACTGTGCAAGAAGTTGTATTGAATTCATATGTTATGTCATACTATCTAAATCTTAATGCTTCTTGTTTAATGATTATAAATGTTGGAAGTACAATATATTTTTTTAACTGTATCAGTTTCAAAACTTCCTATGCTTCTACAAACTGTATTGACACTAATAGCAGTTTGCAGCTTCTGTTGAATTTGGCCTTCGTATGTTATATTTACTGAAATCAGACTTTTCCTCACCAAGGTATGAAGAAGAAAAGTTTAGAAAGAAACAGAAAAGGTATATTCATATTTTGATTAGGGTTGCATCTAGATAAGACTGTTTGCACTGCAACTAACTCCTGGTTGATTGGCTTGCATAAAGGAATAAGCATTTGTAAATATAAACATGCACTAGTGACTAAGTTTTTATGCATGAAAGTAACTATACTGCCTGCAAGTACAGTATATCATCTAAAAGAACTCTCCCTGTATGTTCAAACAGATATTTGTGAATAGTTTCTATTACTTTATTGCATGAGAAGCTCACTCTTAAGGGGATACATGGATTCTCAACTGAATCTTCAAAGAGGCAAAAGTAATACTTCTGTATGAGTTGATTAAATCAAGTTTCACTGTTTCTAACAAGAAGCGATGTCTGAAGGAAGAGCTGTTTTTAAGTGCTAAGCTGTAGCTATGCATCAGCAGAGATGCAACTCTGAAAAGTTCTAATATTGAATCTTATTTTGTATTTTTGGTATTCATTACCTTTTTAGTTATTAACTTCACAGATGCAATCTAAATTAGTATTTTTAGTGCTGTTTGTATTTGCAGTGCCTATGTTCCTTTCTAATAAACATTTGGATTTTCAGTCTCTTGCTAACCAAGCTATTCCAGCAGCTGATGAGTATTTTTGAATGGATACGTTATTTTTTTCACTCTATCACTAACAAATGTACTGAAAGGTTTTGCTACTAACTTTGCCTTTTTTTTAGTTACTCTTTGTGTGTGTGCATAACTATTGAGGGAGGTTTATTGTCTAAATTGGGTAATGAACATAGAGCAGAATACTGAGAGATGAAAATAAAAGGAACGTAAATTCTTTCTGAAAGCTAGCAGGTAAAGCTATTGACAAGTGTTGAACATTTCCTAGGAATTATTCCAATTAAGCAATAATCTTGCAGTGAAGTACTAAGCTTGTCAAATTTAAGAAACCCTTTCAGTACATATTGAACAACAGTTCTGCTCGATTTTTGTTCTTCCCTAGTGGGCATAATTTAGCTCAATTCTATTGCAAGTCCATTGTATTCAGGATTCAAACCTGAGACATTCAGACAGTAATGTAAAAAGTTTTAAAAATCTCCAGTCCAACAAGCACTTTTTAGTGTCCCTGCTGATACCATCAATTCTACTACTCTTGCTTTTGTAAGTAGTAATATGTCTCTAAGTGAAACTTATGTGTAGAGGAGAGATCGACCACACACACTGTTTGATACTGAGACTTTAATCAGGTTGAAAGCAGTTGTAGGCATTATTATAATAGGGAGAAAGGAGAGGTGTTGAAGGTTAGTTACAAAATTTGTTGAGGATGGCAATAGGAATTCTGTGGCTATGTGTATGAGTCACTTTGGAAGCTAGAATATGATATAATTCTATGGATTTATATTGTCAGCTGTATGTTTATGCATAGCTTGTTTGCATTAGCATACCATATTTTCTTACACTTTTTGTGATTAGTCCCATAAGTTATGTCAAAACATACTTTCCTAAGATCCTGCAGTGAGGACAGGGATGAGTTGCAGCTGCGTACTGTGCAGGTGAAAGGGTATTCGACTAGGACTGTTACTTCTAGACAACACTGCTCCAGATCTATTGCATCCTTATGTACTAGGTTCAGTTCTTACAGCTGCAAAAAACCCACAACCAACCTTGTCTCCTCTTTTTATGGGTTCATGGCCTAGAAGAGCTGTCATTGTTTTTATTATTTTGAAAAACTAGCTGGTTATAGTTTGAGAGACTGGACAGGTAGGTTAGACAATTAGGTTGTTAGAAGACAAACTTGGTCTTAGCCTGTCTTGCTTTGGAACTGCTGTTGGTTTTAAAATTCATTTACATCCATGCACAGCTTCTTTTCCAGAAGATACAGTTAAGACTGTAGCTTGTTCTTAGTGTAAAGAAGAAAAGTACATCTTGTGCAGGTCTGTCAACAATCCACTGGTTTCTACAAAGCAGCATTTTGTTTGCTACTCCCAAGACAACTTAAACAACAGCAGCAACAAAACCAAACAAACCCTAAACCACAAATGACCAAAAAAAAAAAAAAACCCCAAACGTTTTAGCAGTGCAATTGTGAATTTTTCCTGGGTAATGGTAAGAGTCTTGGAACTTAATAGAAAAAGTATAGCAGTTAAGGAGCCACTAAACTTTTGTTGATTCAACTAGTGCTGTTACCTTCTTGGCTTAATTACTATAACTAAAAGTAATTCTGTGCTTATTCTGCAGTGTATGAATTCATCAAAGCAGTGCTTGGCGGTATTGTCATGTTACCTGTAAACTCATTCCTGCTTGCATTCATTAATAAAAGCACAAAACCTGCTTTTCTTTTGTAGTCAAACTTCACTTGTGCTTTTCAAATCCTTCCTTTCAACTGCTATAGTTATTTAAATGACTTCTTAACAATTTTAATTAATTTCTAGGGGGCCGTAGGAAAATATTTTTTTAAAAAAAGCATTGTTGTGACTGCATTCAATAAAAATCTTAACTTAAGATTTATTTACTAAAACCTTTTCCATGTAAAAAGTTTTGTATTTTTCTTGTTAAGATTACTAGTTTTAATATTGAGCTATCAAACTAAACTACTTCGTAACATAGTTTTAATTTTACTTCTTTCTTTGCTAAGCAGAGTTGACCAAGAGCTGAATGGAAAACAAGAGCAGAGAAGTGAACAGTAAGTTTGGAGTCCAAACAAGACTGAAGAATATGCAGATGGAATTACGCTATTTTTGCTCCACTTACAATGCATTCTTTGTGTGTGTATATATTATCTAACCTGTTGCAAAAGGTGCTTAGTTTCTATCGACTAGCACACGGTGGACTGCTTACTGCTGTATTGGTTTGTCTTGACTTTAATAGCTGTGTTTATGTAATCATTTTATACTGCTAAATGTCAAAGAACCCTCTGTTTTTGGAGGATGTTCTTGCAATTGTTTATCTAAATGATGCATGTTCTTCAGTAAAATATTTATATACCTAAATGTTAAAGGAAAGAGATAATATATATTTTTATGACTGAGCAATATATTGTTTGTGTACCTGCTGAAAGAATTCATTTGCAGGTGGACAAGGCCATAAGTTACTTGTTATTGTATAAATCTATTTTGCTGTAAATGGTCAAGTGCATTTCTTCGTTGTCATAAGAACCTTAGTTTGTTTGGATATTAACAATCACATAATGTAGTCTTTCACAAGTATGGAGATCTTTATTTTTGTTCACATACCTAATACAAGCAGTACTCATTTACCTCACTAGAGTGAGCTTGAGCTTTCGTGCCTTTTAGTCTGTTTTTTTCAGAATGCAGAACTGCAGTTCTGTGAACTTCAGTTTGTTGGCCAAAAGGTTTAAGCCGAAGCCACAATAGAAGCTGAACTGTTTGAGAGACTACTAAGATATTGGACCTTTCTCAATTTAAGTTGTGAATTTAGATTCTGCTTTAGTAAATCAAGGCTATCTCAGCTACCAGTAAGAAATTAGTTCGTTGCAGTTCTTCCTGGATGAGTATTGGTTGTCACCAGTAGGAATTCTGGTCATACACAGTAGAGCTTGGAAGCTACATAGATATTCTAGCTGTAATATTGTTTGCAGAGGTATGGGGAGTCTTGTTACCTGTGTCATCCTTGTAGATGAAACATCCAGTTCTAAAGCTCTTAGTTTGGCATATAACAGTCCTAATTTCACCTAACACAAAAAAAAGGTGATTTAAAGCTTTTTTGTTTGTTTGTTTGTTCTTCTCCCTGCAATGGTAGTAAACTTAGGTGTGAAAGAGGTGTTCTTGGACTCATAACTAGTGTTAATAGGTTTATCAGGGCAACAATAATGCACTGGTTGATATGCTGTAAAAGTTTGTAACATCTGTTGATAATCGTTGCTGTTTCCCTGTGAGGACAGCTGCATGCAAATAAATCCATTCAGGAGTTGAGCAATATAATACGGTAGCAAATACGTTAAGTCTTCACTTTGGGTTTCTATTGTGCTCACAATTTTTCTTAATGCCAAAAATATCAGTCTCAATTATATTAAAAACTAGTGTTACACAGTTCTCTTATTTATTAAAAAGATAAAGTTGCGTTCAACAAGATGACTACCTGACACTGGTAAATAGCAGTCAAGAGAGTTCCATGGTCAACACTTAATACCAATTAACACTTAATCTACTGTCTCTAATGATACATGTATAGACTCTGAGAGCATCTTCATGTCAGATGAGGGCAAATTGCCCATATCTGTGGGAGTTTTAAGTCTGCAATTCAGAGACTTTCATCTCAAGATCTAGGTACTTTTGTTACATCAGGTTCTGTATCACAGTTTCAAGGAGATTAATATGCAGGATATTCTCTTTCAACAGGCAATGCTATTTCAAGTTGCCTTGCATCCATTTCATCAGGTTCGGATCTTGCTCTGAAAGCACAACACAAATGCAAACAGTTTCTTTGGGGCCGTCTAATCTCCTGCTTCAGTTTTGGTATTGACCCAGATTAATGTAAAGTTCCAGTCAGTAAATTGAACACTTGCAGCCTGTTTTCTTCTGATGCATTCACAGGGCAGTGTGTGAACATGGAAACCTGTAAGCCTTCCTGATTTTTACTGATTCTGTGTGAGTCCTAATACTAAGCATTCTGATCATCTCATTTCAAATTTTTCCTCATTTAAAAAGTATTATTCTTAGTAAAATCATGTTCCTAGTGGGAGGATTGTAGTTACAGATATGCTGTTGCTTCCGATGTGTATAGTGCAGTATAGAGTAGCCAGTCCTCTGTATAGGCCATATTATCGAATGATGGGATTGTTACTGTTGTCTTTCCTGGTGGCTGAGTGATTCTACAGTTTCATGCTGCAGCAGTACTTTTTCTTTTGGAAACGTGTATGTGCTTTCTTAACGGTTTATTTCTCTAGTATAAGTTCTTGTGAAGGAGTATACAGCACAACTATCCTTGTCCCTAAAGATACGCAGCTTGAGGAACAGGTGTACTAAAGAATTATTCTCTTCTGACCTTTTGCAACTCATCATTTAATGGTGAGGTAGATGTTTACAAAAAGCGAAGAGGTCCCAAAGTTATCTTGAACACAAATGGGTAACTTTTTGTCAAACTTATATTTTTAAATCTATAAAGTAATTTAATATATTTTAGTGTTTAAAAACATGAAAAGTTAGAATGTCATACTTTAATAAAAGTTATTTCAAAACCTGAATCATTTTGGGATAAGATACAGTATTGCAGGGAATTCACCTTTCAATGGCACTTCCTTCTAAAAGTAAAACTCACGTTGCTAGAACACCGTTTGAGCCCTGTCAAGAAAAGATAATGTCATGAGTCACTAACTTACCTTTGATTTGGCAGTCTCATTAGTTTGTGTATATATATATGTATGTGATAATAACTCATTAGTTATCTTTTGTTGTTACTGTGCGCAACTGAAGTAGAGATGTTTGGGCCTCTGTGTTTGGATGTGACATTTTGTACATCTACAACAGGGAAAGTGTTCAGAAGTGGCAAAGGTGTTTTGGAGAAGGTGTCATTAAAAACTGATGTGAGCAGACTCTAGATTGCTTGAAGGTTTTTGAAATTCTGTGTAGTACGGCAAAGCCTTGTTCTGTTGGAAAGTAGTGGAGAGCGATGTATAAGGACTTAGTGCTGAAGCAGATCGAAGTCTTTGAGGTTCTGGAATGTTAAAATGGAGAATTTTTAGTTCCAAAAAGCTTAGAACTAGTTAGAATAATATGTAACCTTGCTCATAACAATGCAGTTTAGCATTTTTTTCCTTTATTTTCAGTGAAGAGTAGTACTTCTTGCTGTGAGGAACTTTGTACTGAGAAACAGTAATTCCGAATTGCACGCAATTGGTATATAACCTATATTTGTTAGCATGTTTCAGCAAGTTTGTTGCATCACGTACTTTAATGCTCTAATGACAGCTCAGAACCTTTCAACAGTTAATTTGTGTCAGACTTTGATTAAATTACATGGTGTTGGTAATGGAATTGTTTATGAAATGACTTCGAAGTGTGTCATAAGGAGAAGAGGGTTGCATTCGTGCCTAGTCATGTGTCAGCTTCACTGTGTCATCTACTGAAATGTCTATATTTAACAGAAAATAATGGAACTAAATTGTGAATGGGCACTTTCTAAACTAAATCTGTTACAAAGAAGTAAGTTTCTTGGTGAAAGCGCTATTTTTTTCTAGTGTCAGATTTTTGTCTGTGTATCCTACAGATTTCTACGGTGTTTATTATGTAAAAAGGTGGCTTAAATGCGTCTTTTATGAAAAGCTGTTGTTTTTTGGAGATGATTTGAATTCTCAAGTCATTCCAGTCTCCCTCAGAAAAGTCTCATACGAGGAACAAAGGGGAGAGAGATAACAGCTTGTGTGCTTTTTGTAACTGCAGAAGTCTTACAAAGCTTTCAGTGAAAATTCTTACTCAATCCTTGTGGATGCAGGTCATTCTCTAGAGGATTTGTTTCACCGACTGGTTGTCGGAGAGGCTTGAACTAAGGGCTTTAATTATACTTTTTAAGGATACCTAGTTTTAGGCAGAGTAGTACTCTGAAATACAAGGAATATTTAAATATTCATGTTCTGAAAGACAGATTTTGCAGCTAGCTTCAGAATTGTAAGTTGAACTACATTGGTTCCCTTATCACATCTTGTTCCCTGTATTGAGCTAACAGGAAAAAAGGGCATTTGTGAAGTGAAGAGAGGGTGCAGTTGTGTTAGTGTTTCATCATTCCCATCAAGCATGACTGAGATCAGTGAAATGAAAACTATTCTTTGCTTAACTAGATCTTTTCTCAGTTTTGCAATTTGTACTGCCCAGTTTACTCTCATTTAAGCATACTGATGTTTAAATATACTGATTTTTTTTTTGTATTGAAAATGATCTGAGAAGCTACTGGAGTGTTTTCAGAAAGTCAAGTCCTTATCTTACCATGCTCCTTACTCTAGCTTGCTCAGCTGCTAGTTAATATTTATGACATGGAATTCCAGATTAGTAATTAAAAAAAAAAAAATCAAGGAAGACATGCTTATTTTCCCAGTGGCTCTTTCTGCAGTGTTTCTTACTCAGTCATCTCAACAAAGCCTTTTTATTAAAAGCCCAACTAGTAGGGTGCTCTACTAGTTGAATGGTAGGTAGAAGGGTTAAGAAATTGTCTATTAGTATCAGTAAACTTCAATATGTGTGATACGGGAAACGTGCAGTGTTTAACAAAAGCTGCAGTAGTCATGCCAAAATTTAAGTTGTGAATCGTATATAACTAGCTTAAATTGACTATTAATATTCTTCACAGATATGACTATTTTCCTTTGCTCCTTTAATATAAACCTATGTAAGTACAAGACTCTTCACCTACCTCTATGATCCTTTCTTTTTGAAAGAGCTTGTGTTTTCTGTTTGTTCCAAGGTGTCATGGAGTAATGTGATAAACACAGTTCTGAATGTGCTAGCTGTTAATATTTACAGGAAACTTTTTAATTAGGAAAAATAAATAAATCCTATATGCAATAAATATCTTTGGAAAAGGTCTGAATGTTTTATTTTGGCGCTTAGGAATGTATAGATAGTATGAGACCCTTTTGTGATTGTGCACACCACCAGCTCCCTGTTAAAACCATGAAACTTAAATTTGGTTCCCAAAGCATTGTAGGTGCCAGTCGACTAGTCGCAGTGAAATTTAACAATTATTTTGAAGATAGTTTTGGAGTTGAATATTTCAAAGGCTTTTGGCAGTTAGTACAGGTTGGAGTATAGTGTTAGAGGAGAACGGGTTAAGCTTAGCTTAAGGAGGGCATGGATTTCAGTTCTTTAAATAGGTAAAACAGACCCGGAAATACAGACGTTTTCGCTGGTCGTTATTGTAGAATTTCAAAAAGTCAACACTGACTCGGTGTTTTACGGATGCAGAGGGAGCTGCGCCGGGAAAGCCG